GCAGCTACTAACTGGATGCGGACTCTCTGGGACATGATGGATCGATAAAGCAGCGGGTTACAGATGGCAACGTAGCGGTCGTATGCCATCACTGCCAGCAGGAAGCACTCTGTGATCATGAAAGTCAAGAAAGAGCCCAGCTGGGCTGCACAAGCATGGAATGAAATGGTTTTCTTAACTGCTAACAGGTTTGCCAGCATTTTGGGGGCAATAACAGAGGAATAGCAGAGATCAACAAATGCCAAGTGGGTGAGGAAGAAATACATAGGGGTATGTAGCTGTCTGTCAGTCTGAATCAAAATGATTATGCCCAGATTTCCCATTAGAGTGATGCTGTAATTCAAAAGGAAGATGGCGAAGAGGGGCATCTGCAGCTCAGGACGATCGGTGATTCCAAATAAAACAAATTCCTTCACTGTACTCACAGTTGAATTGCTATCTGCCATTTATTCCATCACTTCAATTAAGTTCTGCTCAGGAAACGGGTGCAGAAGGAACACACTTTCTTCTTTAATGTTCAATCAGTTTAGATGACTCTCATACTCAGAGATGATAAATTCTTTTGGTTCTACCTCATTCATTCTACTGATGCAGATATCCTAATATCATTTTATCTGCAATGATTTTAGAGCAATACCATGAATATTTGTTCCCATTTTAAAAGCGCATTATATTTCATAAAGCACTTGGATGCCACAGCAACACCAGGAAAATAGCTTATGTGCAATAAGCTATGTGCCCTGTTTGAATACCTGGAAAAATGTTAGGTTCCATCTATCAATCCATGATGAACATTGGCACTTTATCTTAGCAAGCAAACATCAACACATACACGATAAGATGGACCAGGAAAGCTGAACCACGCTTATATCAGATGTACTAAAAAGTCCAGAATTGGGCTCAAGACTCAACTAGCTGTCTGATAAAGTTTTACATACACATTGTAGAATCTTGATGGTTTCTCTCAGGTTGCTTGTTTCTGTACAGAAAAAAGGCACATATTTAGAAAAATTATAAGCCACATGCAAGAGTTCTCATAGTACTGATTTTTATTTCATCATGTGGCTTTTCAGAAGATCTTCTAAGAAAGCAAGGCCACACAAACAATTGATACCTATGAGATTTTCACCTTCAATTTGAACCTCATCCACTTAACATCATTGAAAGTTGCTTTTCAGCAGAATTTGATATAGAACTTAGCTATATGTAATGAAGGCTACTCAAGGTATTTCATCTTGATATTATGAACTGACTCACTTAGCACTATCTGAAACTCACTGCTGTTAGAAAGACGTATTAGCAATTATCTAATTGAAACAGATCACTCTCAAGGGGGAGGAGCCAAGATGGTGGACAGGCAGCAAAGTCTGTAAAGAGCTCCTCCAAAAGTAAAAGCTTTCTTTTATTTTATTTTTATTTTAACTTTTTAACCCTTTTTAACACTGCATTTAACCTACTTTTAACCCATTTTAACCTATTTTAACCCATTTTAACCTATTTTTAAATCAGTTTTAACCCTTGTTTGACTTTTTATAATAGTCAAAGACTTTTTATAAAGGATATATACTGATATTATGAACTGTCCTGGCTTGTGCTTTGAAAATGAGATACACATTGGAATGTAACTGATTTTGGATGTTGATTTCTCCACATTTTGCATCATACCTTTTTTAAAATTTTGACGGAGCAAAAGAGATTTAGAAAATTGTATTTAAAAAAAAGGGCATTGAGAAATGGATTTTTTTCTGAAGAAAAATAAATGTTCAGAAATGCATGTTAAAAAAAGTTTCAGTACTATTTTTTTTTTAAAAAAAAAAAATCCATTTCAATACATAGTGAACATTTTCTTGATTTTTTTAAAAAAAAAAAACCTTGAAAAAACTTTGTTTTCCAGAAGGCAAGTCTTGGAGAATTTGTGAGCTATTCTAGTTTGAGACTGATGTCTAAAAAAAACCCAAACCAATGAATTGCTAGGTTATTCCCAGACAAATGAACATTATTTACTCTGAGATTCTCCCCATCAAAAATGTGATTGCAAAGGACTAAGAGGCACTTTTTAGCTTGGTGTTTTTCCCAGCCTACCTGTGTCTGCACATTCTCTTCCATCTATTGTTTGCAGATGCTTGCCCTCATCAGCTATCTGCCTAGGTATGAGTGCCTTTGCCTCTCTAATAATCTGCTTTCAGAGGTTTCTCAAGGTCTTCTGCTCCTCAGAGATTTTCCTTGTGAGACTTGACTCCTCTGGGAGAGGAGCTGAGCTTGTAAATAACAGATCTATAATGATGGTGAGATGAAGAGAATATAAATTCAAAATGCACAATCTAGATTCTCAAGTGTCAGCGAATTTCTGTAAGCAATTTCTCAAGTATTCAAGTGATTATCTACCATATTATTCTAGGTTGATGGAACAAGTATTGATGTCTTAACGTCCCATGCAAAGCTGAGCCGAAGACAAACAGAAAGCAAGGCAACTGAGCTTCATGGGCTATCACTGTTCTGTTATACTATAAATCTTTCAAAAAATGCCAAGGAAGAGAGAGCAGTAGGGTATGAAATAGGAATCAGTAAAGTCTTGAAACAATAAAAGAGAGAGTTTTTGCCATGCAAATTATTCCAGTGGCGCAAGGCTACTTACTCAGAGAGTGTTTCTCAACCTGGGCTACTTTACAATGTGTGGACTTCAACTCTCAGAATTCCCCAAGCTACTGGTCTAAGATACTGAAAACTTATTACTATTTTACTATTAAAATTATGCATGTTTTCCTCCTATATTAATAAAAAGGCCACAATTATGACTTTTCAGCCAAAACTCCTAGTGACAATCAAGACCAAGCAGGGCCTTTTAGAAGTAGTAGCTAGATAACTTCCCATCAGATATTTTACAATGGACAGAGAGGTGACATTCTTGGTGGGAGATTGTGGCACAGTGCAAGTGCACACTGGGGCTGTACAATGCAGAAGCATAGAATGATGCTATCATTTGGCAGCAGTAGATGGGGAGAAGTTGTCCTGGAGCACTAGGCAGTATTACGTGACCTCTTCAATATTGAACGTAAATGTCATAACTTGATAAGCAGTTTGAGATAAAATAAATAACATCTCTTCTTATAAAATGAGGTTGATAATCCAAAATCACATTGCTTCGTGCCCTTTAGATGCTTCAAAAGAGTTCAGTAAGGATTGGTTGCAATTGCCTTGCTGGGGGAGATATAATTTCAGAGTCAAAACATAAACTCATGCCCAGATTTGTCCTATTAATGGCCACATTTTGGACTAACTCACAGAGCTGTTAATATAACTTGTAGACTGTATATTTAAAAATGCATAGGTTCTTCGCATCTAAATCTTGTCTATATCAATGAAGACCTCAAGAACTGTAGAGTTTTTGAGAATGTAGACAAAAATTTATTATACAACACTAGAAAAATAAAACAGCATTGGATTTGTAACATTGGCTTGTTGATTTCTGTTGTGATTTGAACTATTTTTTTATTTTTGACAAAGGGACAAAAAGGTGACTTTCAAACAGTATCAACAATGTTTCACAGTTGTCCTACTTTGTAATATATAAACCTTTAGGACAAAAGTGTCTCTAATTGGGTTCAACAGACAGGAAGGTGACATAAATTACAGATACCCCCTATTTTCATTATTCTGCTCTGCATCAACAAGCACAAAAACAAATGTCACAAGAGAATGAGAACCTTCAGGGAAATTTTAAATCAGAGTTTAAATAAATGAAGCCCTTATCCACTCAGCAATCTCTGCAATGCTGTCACTATTTCAATCCCAGGTAAGCTGTATATTCTGAGAACAGTGTTAACAGAAAGAGATCTTGGAAATTTTGGCTAGAAGCTCTAGCTTACAGCAGTCCCACAAGATTACCTGTGTGGGTCCCTCAGAATACAGAAATGGATGCATTGAAATTGTAGTTATTTCTTCTCCCACTGGAAGCAATAGAAGAAATTCAGGGTGGGAAATCCTATTAAGGATAAGTATTGGAAAAATTAACTTCCTATTCTTTCTGGTAAGAATTAGGAAGTCTTAGTTCCTATCAAAGAGTCAATATATTTGGGGAAACCATCATATCCAAAGTTCTGGTGTTCTTTCAAAAATAGAGGGTAAGTACATGTTTGTCTCTCTCTGTTTATTTATAGAGAATAGATCCTGCTCTATCATTGGCTAGCCTCAGAATAAATGAAGATAAAAGGTTTTTCCAACTATCAGCTGATTATTAACCATGGTGTCCATGTCTGAATTAACTTGCCAGAGCACCAAGACAATGTTATCAACCAATAGTAATTGTGTACTTAAACTGATCCCCCACAAGTCACCTTCCAAATGGCAACTAAATGTGATAGAATGCTTTCAGGGACAAATGCAATGTGAGACTCAAGAAGGAGACAGAAAACCGTGGTTTCCTAGTCATCTGCTTGGGACACAGCTGAGTGTTACATAGCAAAGATTATGAAAATCTGTATTTATAGTGAGCAGGAAAAGGTAGAGAATGTAAGTGAATCATAGTAGAATAGTAAGGAAGACCATATTCTAGCATGTAGTATCTCATCCTGATGATATTTATGAGATCTCAAGCTGGATATTGTGCTCTAATTTAGTGTTATTAAAAGGAGCAATGAGACTTCTTAATTTGAAAGGAGGGCATAGTCTTAGGGATTGAGTTAAACTCATCTCTTATACATTTTTCTCTGTATTAACACATCTTTACACCACCACATGTTTAAGGGATGGCACTGAATCCAAAGCTAGAAGATATATAAACTTGCATTAGGTTACATTGAAATTTGACAGAAAAAAATCACATACCCTACAGATTTCAAAGTAATGTAGTCTCATTTAAATAATGCACACACTCTATGGGAAAGGCAGAAATTTTATCAGTCCCAGTGTTTTAGTTACCACACAAAACAAGTAGTAAATTCCAATCTTTGTCTAATTGCATTTTTTTCTCCCAACAATTAATGTACAAAGAAGAAATTTCTATGTGGAATCACACACGGGTCTCCAACTTCATTCTCCTGGGCATCACAGATCAAAAGGAGCTACAATTGCCTCTCTTTGTGTTGTTTCTACTGATATATATTATTACCCTGATGGGGAATCTAGGAATGATCTTGTTAATCAAGACAGATTCTCGACTCCATATTCCCATGTATTTTTTTCTCAGTAATTTGGCATTTGTAGATGTCAACTATTCTTCAAGCATTACACCCAATATGTTGGTGTCTCTCTTAACAGAAAGGAAAAATATTGGATTCTTTGCATGCGCCACTCAAATGTTTGTGTTTGTTATATGTGGAAGCACTGAATGTCTTCTTCTGGCTGTGATGGCCTTTGATCGGT